TGGCTCTTTCACTCCCTCTGGGCTTCATGAAATGCTCTTGTTGTGTCCTAGTGGTACCCAGAGCCAAGGAAACCCTGCAGCCAGTTGACCTCTACACCTGGCAACACCTGTTTAAAACTTTTTATGTTTAATCTTTTAAAACAGCTTACATGGTTGATCATAGTTGTATTCATTCTAAATTAAGTTGGGGAGAAGGTGTTAATCAGAAAGTGCAAACTAGGAAAAGGTTGGTATGAAAAAATCTTTTTCCTTTCCTCAATCAGTGTATATAGTTCAACTCTTTGTTACATTTAACTATGCCCATGGACATCAGTCTGTTTTGGACTGCTCTGCTAGTGTTAAAGATGGAAATAAACTATTAATTTGAACCAAAAATCTTTCTCATGCATTCACTTGATTTTTGAACCAGAATCTGCTTTTTGTCAAGGTGTATACTTCACATCTCCCTCCTATTGGTGGGGTCTACCTGTGGTGGAACACGGCTTGTATAGGAGTTAGCACATGAGAAGCCATGTGTAAAGCGGAGCCATAGGTTAGGCCCAGAAATCCCTGTGTGCTGGGATAAGCATGGGTTCCATGTGCACTACGCTTCCTACTTGGGGCTTCTTCCAGCAGCACTGTGCGGCTCCAGGGTAGGTGTGGGCTGCTGGCACCTGACAAACTTGAGCACTAACTGGAAAATTTCACACCTGACTTCATGGAATAGGTCATATGAAAATGCAAGTGTGATAGAACTACTATATAAGTTTATCTGCAGGCCATTGGTATGGTGTATATATAGAACAATTTAGTTTCACCACGGGCTCAGGAGTGAGCCTTAATAGAGGTACCAGTGAAGAGTTTGGGGTGCAGCTAGGTGATACAATGCCTACCTGCCATATGTAGGGGCCTGGGTTCTATTTCCAGCACAGCAAACACGAAATACTCCTCACTTTGCATATTACTAGACAACGAGATTTAAACCAACCTACAGCAGGGTGCCTCATTATAGCTGTTTGTGTGGCATTGTCAAACAGTAACTAGTGTTGGTGGAAATGTGTAGAAATTGGAAATCCGCATTCATTGTGGAAAGAGAAACTGGTGAACCTGCTCTGGAAAAGTTTAGTGTTTCTGCAAGTGTCAATGATAAATAACTGAAAGGATTGAAAGCGGTAATTGCACACAAATGTTCAGAGTATTCACAGTGTCCAAGCACTCAACATCAGTTGGGTTGGATACAGAGCTGTTATTTGGGATGATGGAAAGTTCTGAAAATGAGTAGTGGTAATAGTTGTACTATTATCTGTACATTTACAGAAGTAGAGCTGTGGCACAAGTGGTAGAGCATTGGGCTTCAGCATTGACGCTCAGGGACAGTGTCCAGGCCCTGAGTTTAAGCTCCAGGACACAGACACACAATCTTACTAAGTTTGTTTTACCATAATTTTTTAAAGTGCAAAACTAATAAGTGAAAACTATAGCAAAGTTGTGTGTGATACATAGGAATCTTAGGTTTAACAGTGTTAGGGTTTTTGGGTCTCACCAGTTCATGCCTATAATCCTAACTACTCAGGAGACAGATCTGAGAATATGATCTGTTTGGGGTTGGCTGGGGCAGAAATATCTATGAGACTTACCTCCAATTAACCAGCAGAAAACAAAGTGGAGAGACCGCTCAACTAGTAGAGCACTAGCTGTGAGAACATCATGGCAAGTGAGTAAGGTCCCAAGTTCCAGCAGCCTCCCCCCTGCCCCCCCAAAAGACTAGGGGCCAGCTGTCAGTGGCTCACACCTGTAATCCTAGCTGCTGAACTCTGGACCATTTATCTCAGTGGGACAGGGAAGACCTTGAAACTCCATCTCCAAAATAACCAGGAAGAAGTAAGTTTGGAAGTGTGGCTTAAGTTGTAGAGAACCAGCCTAGCAAAGTTGAGGCCCTGAGCCCAGAGCACTTCAGCCAAATGTACTAGGTTATTTAGCTAGACCTCAAAATTTAGCTGGGCTACCTGGTGAGATCCTATAGACCAAAAAGTTAATTTTTATACTAAATTAAGCTATTAGCATTTCTAAAGATTTTTCCTGTGGCAGCATTGTATTCCATTGCTTCTTTTATGAGACGGGTTTGAGCTCAGTGCCTGATGATGATGCTCATTGTTTAGCAGTCTACCAACTGAGCCACCCCTCCACCCCTCCATTGCTTTTATAGCTTCATTTCTGTTGAGTGTCCTTTCTGTTGTCATCTTTCAGGTCTGGGCATATGTTCTCAGGCTGCTTTTAGAATTTTTGTCCGCTTTCAGCAGTTCAGTTTTGTGCTCAGACATGTTTGCTTGTATTTAAAAAATCTTGCTTGGAGTTCACTGAAGTTAAAATTGTGGGTATCTTTAATGAGTTTTGAAGAGTTTGCTTCTGTGACACTTCCCCCTTTGGCACTTTATCTCCTTGTGCTAGACCTTTGTTGGGTTTGTAGGGATTTTGTTGGATCCCCAAGTGTTTATACATGTCCATGTCACATCTTTGCAGTGTCTGCATAGAATCTGGTGTGCCTTGTATGTTGGTACCTCTGCTGCCAACACCTTGCTTGGAGCAAGGAATTGGCATGAGCCAGCAGTTTTATTTTTGCAGACCCAATAAAGCTACAAATTAGAAGAGTTCCAGGTAATGTATGTTATGTCCACTTGAGCCACATCTCTACTTCCAGTTTGTTGCTGGCTAATTGGAGATAAAAGTCTCATGGGTTTTCTGCCCAGGCAGACTTTGACTCAATTCTCAGAACTCAGCCTGAGTAGTGAGGATGACGGGCATGAGCTACAAGCATCCGACCTATTTGGCCTCTTATAGAGGCAGTAATTTCATGTATGAGAATTCTGTCCACATAACCTAAACACTTTCAGACCTAGTATCTCCCGATTCCACTATGTTGGCGATTATACACCAATTTACGATGTTTTCTAGGACACAAGCAGGTGGGACATAACAAAGCCAGTGCTTTGTAACTGTTCTGTCAGTTCACACTGTAAATCTCAGTTTCTCACCATGGAGAGTGGAGTCGTGTGGATAGTGAGATGACCCTGCCCAGCTGCTGGGCAGACGGTCACCTTGTCACTCAGCAAACACTGGCATGCTGCATAGCCTGCCCCTTGGTGGGCTCAAGCCGGGATTCGGTGTGGGGTTGGCTTCGGTGCGCCCAGCCGTGAACTCTGGGCCTGGGCGCTGTCCCTGCGCTCTTCAGCTCAAGGCGAGCGCTCTACCATTGAGCCACAGCGCCACTTCCGGTTTTCTGGTGGCTCCTTGGAGATCAGTCTCACGGACTTTCCTGCCCAGGCTGGCTTTGAACCGCGATCCTCAGATCTCAGCCTCCTGAGTGGCTAGGATGACAGGCTCTAAGTACTCTCGAATGGCACTCGTGAATCCCAGGGAGGAAACGCACTTATTTGGGGACAAAGTCTTCTCGTGAGCGGAGCCTGGCGAGGGGAGCGGAGCCGCAGGGCGAGGGGAGCCGGGCGAGGCGAGCGGAGCCGGGCTAAGCGAGCGGGGCCGCCGGGCGAAGGGAAAGAAGCCCGGCGAGGGGAGCGGAGCGGCCGGGCGAGGGGAGCGGAGCCGCCGGGCGAGACGCCAGAGCCTCGCGCCCCGGTGCTGGGCGCGGGCGCGCGTGAGGCCGGCACTCCGCATTACGTGGGCCGGGCGGGGGGTGAGGGCGCTGGGCGCCGCCGTGCAGCGGGCGGAGCGGGTGGAGGGTGAACTCGATGACACGAGCTGTGGGCGAACCCCGGGTCGGGGGGAGCGGGGAGCCCAGCGGTGACCGAGGCAGGGCCGGCCACCGGAGGCCGCCGCCCGCGGCCCCTGGCCCGCCCGCGCCCCTTCCCCGAGGCCGGGGCTCGCCGGGGTCGGCCGGCGGGGCCCCCGGGGGGTCGCGCGGCGGTCCGCTTTCCTGGGCCTGGCAGGGCCAGCAGCGCCTGACCGGGCGGCAGCTGGCGGCCCCCGGGAGAAACCGGGCTCGAGTGTGGGGCGGGCGCTACCTGCGTGCGGACCCCGGCTAGGCCCAAGGTCACGCAGCGGCGGGCGGAGCCGAGCCGGGCCCCGGACGGCGGTCCGCCCGGCGTAGCACCCGCGCGCGACGGCGAGGCTCCGGGACGGCCCCGCGTGGGCCGCTCCCTGCCGCGGCCCCTCCGAGCCCGGCCCGCGCGAAGCCCTCCCCGCCGGGCGCCGGGCTCGGCCCGCGCGCCGACTACAGCGCCCACAAGGCCCCGCGGCGCGCTCGGCGGCTCGTGCTGACGTCACGCGGGCCCCGCCCCCCGCGGGCCCCGGGCTGCGCGGCCCTACGGGACTCGTGGTTCCGCCCCGGGCGCCCTGGTGGCAGCGCGGGCGGCGCGGACTTCAGCTCCCGGCACGCCTCGCGCGCCGGCGTCCGCGGCGGCGGGCGGGGGGCGCGGCCGGACGAGGGGCGGCGGCACCCGGGAGGGCGGAGTGCGGCGGGGGAGGGCGCCCGCGCCCGCGCCCCTCCCCCCGCCGCCGCTTCCCCCTCCCCCGACGTAAACTGGGATCCCTTTCCCCTTGTGTCCGCCATATTGGACTCTAACTCTGGTCAGCCGCGGCGCCGGGCCCGGTGCACTCGCCGTCGCGCTCGCCAGCGGCCGCCGCGCAGCTCCCGCCAGCCCCACCCTCGCCGCCCGGGAGGCGCCCCCGCGCCGCGCCCCCGCCCCCCGCCCGGCCGGCCCCCGCCGCCGCCGCCGCCCTCCCGCCGCCGCCCGCGGCCCCTGGCCCGCCCGCGCCCCTTCCCCGCCGCCCGCGCCCCTTCCCCGCCCGCCATGAGCCCGGCCGACGCCAAGCGCGGGGCCAAGCGTCGGAAGAACAAGCGCGGCGGCGGCGGCGGCGGCTCGGGCGGCGGCGCGAGCGGCGGCAAGGCCGGGCCGGCGGCGGCGCTGCGCGGCGCCCAGGCCCCGGGCTCGGGCGGCGCGGCCGGCCTGCTGGGCGGCGCGGCGGCGGCGGCTCACGGGGCCCTGGGCGCGGGCGCGGGCGGCGCCGCGGGCGGCTACTTCGAGGTAAGCGCGGCGGGCGGGCGGGCGGGGGTCCGGCCGGGCGGGACCGGCCGCCGCCCCCTCGCGAGCGGCCAGGCGAGCGGCGGGCACCGGCGGATAACGGGGCGGCGGGGCGGCGGGGCCCGCTCTGACAGCTCCTCCCCGGGCGCGGAGCGGAGCGGAGGGCGGCGCCGGCCGGGACCGGGCGCCGCGGCGGGGGGCGGCCGCGGACCAGGCCCCGCGCTGCCCCCGGCGCGGCCGGAGGGGTGGGCCGCGCTCCCCGGGGTCCCGGGCCGCCCGTGTGCGGGGTCGCGGGGGGCGCGGCGCCCGCCCCGCGGGGCTCGGGAACGCGCCGCGCCCCGGGTCCCCCCGCGTCGTGGGCACGTCCGCGCCCGGGTTACCTTCCCGTGGGGAGCCCGCCCCGGGCCTCGGCGCGGCGCAGGAAAACAACCGCGAGTCGGCCGCCGCGGCGCGCGCCGGCCCGGCCCCGCGGGGAGCGCTCCCCGCGCCGGGGACGGCGGACCTCCCGCCGGCGCCGCGGCCGCCCGGGCTTTCCGGGCGGTGCTGGCCGTCCCGGCGTCCAGCGCGCCCGTCTCCGGAGCCCGTAGAGCGCGGTCCGAGCCTGGAAGCCTCGCGCCGCCTCCCGCGCCTCCCCGCGCGGCCCGGCCCGGCGCGGCGCTCCTGGCCCGCCGCTCCTCCAGCCGCGCTGCCCGGGCCGGACGTCCGTCTGCTCCGTTAGCCTGTTGGGCACCGGGACCCGCGGACACCGCAGCCGGAGGCGGAGCGGGGTCGGGCCCGCACTCCCTCTGCCCTCTGCGGTGGAGCGTTGACCCGCACCCCAGCGGCGTGATTGTGACCGTAGGGTAGCTCTGCTCTTTTCCAAGTGCTGGTACTGGGCCTTGAACCCGGGGTCCTGAACTCAGCGCCTGGCGCCCTGGCTTGGCTGCTGCTGGAAGGCTCGCATTCTGCCGCCGAGCCACGCCTCCAGCTCCACGCTTCTTTGAGTTTAAATTTTTCTTCACAGGTGGTACTTTAGTTCTGAGTTAAGATGCTGTTCACGCGAGAACGCTGAACGTGTCCTTGACACTTAGGGCAAAAGGTTTTAGTGTCATTCTGAAGGCTCTGGATTGTTTCTCCACAGATGGGAGCCTTCAGCATCTTGTGCTCACCAGACAGACGTCAAAACCATGTCCTGACCCAGGGTTTCCCAGAAAGGCTGAGACCTGAGGCGCATCCTCGTACAAGGAGGAAGGGCCCAGGAGCAGGACTCCTTATCTTCCTGGCCAGCCTGGCAGTGCCTCCTGAGTGCTGGGCACAGCCTTGTGGGGTCTGTGAACCAGAACCGACTTCATCGAGTGGCACCTTAACCGAGAGGGCATGTGTGACATGGGTAGTTTGTACAAAGAAATGAGGCGTGTGGAGATGTAGGAAAACCGCTGGAGAACTGAGCTCTGGGTTAGTCCTTGGTCCAGGAATGAGACCTTTGCCACCTCACAGGCACCCAGCGAACGGAGTTGTTGAAGTAAATAGAAGGGAAAGAAAGTGCTCCCACAGTTGTCTGGTGGCACCCAACTCTATGGTTGTGGTTATTTTTCAGGGTGCAAGACTGGACTTTTGGGGGGGATTCTGCTGCAGATAGCACTCATTAAGGTTTTTTTTTTGGGGGGGTAGGGGTCAGGTCGTGGGGCCTGACCACTGGGCCTGGGCGCTGTCCCTCAGCTCAAGGCTAGCGCTCTACCACTTGAGCCACAGCACCACTTCTGGCTTTTTTTCTTTTTGCTTATGTGGTGCTGAGGAATCGAACCCAGGGTCTCATGCATGCAAGGCAAGCGCTCTACCACCGAGCCACCTTCCCAGCCCCACTCATTAAGTTTTTTTCTACTTGGGAAATAGAGAAACTACACATGGAAGTTGAGTCTTGGATAATGCCTTCTTTATTGGCCTTGTGTGGTATCTGCCCTAGCCACACAGTGAGCAGTTGATAGGTGAGGCGTATGGTGGGTAGATCTAAGTATTTCACGTTTCTGTTTTAAAACAGAATTTTCATACTGTTCATGATGTATGAAGTATAAAACTTTTACAAAGTAATGTTTGTAGTATAGAAATATTTTTGTAAAAGCCGGGCGCTGGTGGCTCACGCCTGTAATCCTAGCTACTCAGGAGGCTGAGATCTGAGGATCGCGGTTCAAAGCCAGCCCGGGCAGGAGAGACCGTGAGACTCCTATCTCCAATAAACCACCAGAAAACCGGAAGTGGCGCTGTAGCTCAAGTGGTAGAGGGCTCTCCTTGAGCTGAAGAGCTGAGGGACAGCGCTAGGCCCAGAGTTCAAGCCCCATGACCGACAAAAAAAAAAAAAAAGAAATATTTTTGTAAGATGTTCCTATTTTTGTAGACTATATTGTGTATATATTTGCGTACACAAATGTTTTGTGGTGGACATTTGAGGCTTTGATTTTTGTTCCTTTTTGTACATGCTCAGTCTTTTAGGCTGATTCTGCAGCGCGTGCTGCTTACGGAGCACTCAGGTGAAAGACACTTCACAAATGATAGTAAGAACACGTTTTGTTCTCAAATTCGGATTTTCCCTACCTTTTGGCAGTTAAACATACAGGTATGATGCACAGGATAAAAATAATTTACATAATCAGGATTCTGTTTTCTGCACAAGGGTCCAGAATTAAGCCATATACATATTACTTACAAAATCCAAATTACAAGTCAAATCATGTATGGTCTTCGTGAATTGTGGTCTGTGCTCATGGAGTGCTAGAATGGGAGTTAGGGCCAGTTGGTAACATCATTGATTTATAAAAGAATGTCGTTTAGGGCAGGTGTCAAAGTAAGTTTTCAGACATCAAAGTTTGAAGATGTGCTTGTCTCAGTGTATGGAGCATTTGTAGCAATGTGAGCCTTTAGTTGCCGAAAAGGGAGGGAGGAGGAGTCTGGTGAATAATGTGTATCCTGAGGCTCCATGAGGCCTTGCCTGGTGTGCGTGCAAGTCTTTGGAATTTATCAGGCTACCTTTAGTTGTCTCCCATGGACTGTAGAAATTGTTACCATGACGAAATGAGTGTCAGTCTTAGTCCTGTAGTTCACATAGGCTTTAGTGACCTGAGGTTATATAAAGTAGGTTGCATAAAAATCTACAACTTTAGTGGTTTAAGATGACTGGTTTAACTTAGAACAGCTTTAGAAATGGTTCAGCTGCAGAGAGCTCTCTGTGATTGCGTTTTGAGGTATGTACATAGTCACATAGGAAAGTACATCAAGATAGAGCGGATTCCCACTGCCTTCTATGCTATCCTAGTTATTCCTACCACTGTTCTGATCTGGAACCTTTCAGAGCATCTCACTTGGTTGAATATCAGGTAAAAGGGTCTTTTTGTGCTAAGGCTCTTTCTCTCATTGTTGTATTTGAGTTGAATCTGGGCTGATAGAGCATTTTTTCCACATTGTGTATCTACAGTGTATTTAATCTAACACAGATGGGTTTATTCTTATTTGGGTTATTTAAGGATGCTGCTAGGTATGCTTCTGTATGTGAGTCTTTGGGTGGGCATGGACACAATCTGGGTATGGGATTGCTGAGTTTCTGTATGATGTCACTTGAGAAGATCTAGTGCTGTTTGTTGTGTGCTTATTTTCAGAAATTTACATATAGGAAAATTGATATAAATTTTTTTTGCTTGCTCCAGTGAGGTTCCCTCCCTCCCTCCCTTCTGCCCTTCTTCCCTTCTTTTCTTCTTTCCTTCTTTCACATTTAACTTATATTAATTATATGAGGGAATTTCATTGTTATAGTTCCACACATGTTTACACTGTATTGTAATCAACCTCATCCTCTCTATCACTCTCCCCTTGAAAAAAAAAAAGAAAAATAAACCCACCACCACCGTCAGAGTCTTGCTTTGTTGCTCTGGCGGGTCCCAAACAGCTAGGTTTAAGTCGTCTCCCAGTTCACCTCCTCAGTACTTGGGAGTATAGGTATGGTTCACCATGGCCATCTTTTTTCAAATGTGCTGTTGCTTCATTTTGTGGGGTGGGGGGGGCAGCATTGAGGGTTAAACCTAGAACCCCAGCACCTGCACATTATAGGCAACTGTTCTATCAATGAGTTACTATGCCTCTAGCTGGGTTTGAATTTAACCCAAGTAATAGGCTCATAGAATCACTGTGACAGAACAGTTTTACTATCCACAAAAACTCCTAGACGCAACTCATGTGCAGTCATACTCTACTTCTAAACTCTTGGCAACCACTGCTCTCTAACTTAAAAAATTTTGTTTTAAGAAGAAATCATGTAAATGAAATCATATAAATGGAATAGTAGAGCATGAAACTTTTTTTGGGGGGGGGGTTTGTGGGTCGTGGGGCTTGAACTCTGGGCTTGGGCACTGTCCCTGAGCTCTTCAGCTCAAGGCGAATGTTCTACCACTTGAGCCACAGCGCCACTTCTGGTTTTCTAGTGGTTTATTGGAGATAAGAGTCTCACGGACTTTCCTGCCCGGGCTGGCTTTGAACCAAGATCCTCAGATCTCAGCCTCCTGAGTAGCTAGAATTACAGGCGTGAACCACCGGTGCCCGGCTTCATGAAACCTTTTGAGGCTGGTTTATTTCACTTAACATAATCACTGAGATCCAGGTTACATGCTTTCTTGTTTTTTGGTTGTGTTTTTTTTTTTTTTGGTCGGTTATAGGGCTTGAACTCTGGGCCTGGGCGCTGTCCCTCAGCCCTTCAGCTCAAGGCAAGTGCTCTACCACTTGAGCCACAGCTCCGCTTCCGGTTTTCTGGTGGTTAATTGGAGATAAGAGTCTGACAGACTTTCCTGTCCAGGCTGGCTTTGAACCTCAATCCTCAGATCTCAGCCTCCTGAGTAGCTAGGATGACAGGCGTGAGCCACTGGTACCCAGTCAGGTTATGTGTTTCAATACTTTGTTCCTTTACATTACTAAATAATATTCCATTGGTGGACATTGACATTGTTTGCAGGGTTTGTTGATTATGAAGTTGTTATAAATGTTTG